TCAGTTTTAGACTTGGGAGTGTGGAAACAGTTTTTAGATCAGTGAATTATTATTTCTTAATATTTTTTAATTTTACTAAAATTGAGGTTTTTTATATATTTCCAATCATACAAGAAGTTAGGAAGGACTTACAAGTATTTTCCAATTTGTATAGTGAAAGTCCAAATTCTTCCACTTTAACCTTGATGTGGAAATGAGTCAGTTGTAGGCTCAGGGAATGCAGTTCTCTTTACTTGAGTGGAAATTAAGTGTAAACTCTCTTCCCTTAAAGACAGAAGCAAGAGTAGGTTCTGTGTGTAGGTCACATGTGTTCCCCATCATGGAAAAAAAGGAAAGATGAGACTAGGACACCTTAGCAGAAATATCTCATTACTCTTGTACAGGATGCTTTGGCTGCTTGCCTAGCCAAAGAGTTACTAAAAAGTTCCTACCATGATTTAATTACATTAATTGTTTTTTATTTCTTTTTTATCCTTAAATTTTTTATGTCTTTTAATTTTTTTAAATAACAGAGATCAATAAGTAATAATAAACAGATATTTTTTATTCTTTCTTTCAGTTTCAAGTTTTCTCCCTATTCCTCCTTTCTCCCCTACCCAACAAGAAAGCAAGAAAAACAATACTTATTACAAATATGTATAGTCATTCCAAACAAATTTCTTTATTTGTCATCTCAATTCCATTAACTTTCAATAATTGGTCATTTCCCTTGAACTCTTGTCCTACTGAATCCTAGTAGCACCTTTTTCACTTTCAGAAATGAACAACATCTTACCAATTTTTTATGGGATATGTGCCAGTTCTTAACAAGTGAAATCACAATTTGCTTGGGTGTTTTATTACTCTATTTTCATTCCAAGGTGCTTTTCACAGTCTGCTTTTTAAGAAGGCATTTCTTCAGCTGAAATAGGCATCTCATATAACTTTATTGCATTTGCTTAGAGTTGCTGAGAGTACAAATTTGCCTTTCTTACTAATAGGTGACTGGCTATTGGCACATTGAGTTTTACTGGGTTGAAATTGCCAGATTTCTTTTTCCTTTGTATTTTATAGGATAGAGCTGCTGAAATTGGTCATAGAAATACTTTTGTCCATGTGATCACCAAAATGGGCACTCGTGTGGTAGTCCTGGCTAACAAACCTTTGTTTCTCGTGATGTGTAGAGACAACTTTAGTTTCTGTGTACAGTTGAAATAATGGTTCTGTTAGTAGATATCTAAAGGTACATTAGGCCACATGTCTGTCATTTAAATAGCACTAGGAAAGCTATTCCTGGTTGCCATAAGAGTATCACATGCCCCATGTTTCCCTGGTCCAGATGAAACAGGCCTAGGGTAGAGTCTGACCACTTATTCATCTGACAAGGTGTACATTCTTGTTTGTTTTTCTAGACCATTAGTCACTCATTTTAAGTGCAGCTCAGTCAAGTGTTGGCAGTTTACTTCCAAAACAAACACATTGAATCTGAGGAAAGGAAAATAGGGGCAGGTATTTAAAAATACAAGGTTGTGAGTTTTATTAAGTTATTTTTAGCTTTATTACTAAGCTCACAACTACCACAAAATGCCTAATCATGGATGAGACTTTTAATGAATATTTTGTCCAAAGAAATTAATTATTCCCAAAGCCCAAATAGCTCTGAGAATTCACAGACATGATTTGCTAATGCTGCTAGGTTAAAGGCAAGAATCTCAGCTTGTAAGCAGCATAATTATTTTCTATCCCACCTGAGAAACAGTGTGATGATGAATTTTAAATATTCCTTTCAACGTTGATGTGGTTACTTAAAATACATCTTTGTCTTGGAGAATTGATATAAATTAAACTTTATCAATGAACTTATGTGCCTATTTCTGTTAATAAGAGTATTATTTTCTTTGTCTTTTTTCCCTCAGTAATTAAATAGGACATTTATGTCATTAATCATACTTTTTTTTGAACATGCTCATTTAGCATATTTCAAAAATACGTATCTATAAGTAGAGTTTTATCTAAATGTCTTTATAATCATTCACTTGTGAGGCAGAGAATATCATTAAATGATTGAAAAATGCTGGTAAAGTTAGGCTGTTAACTAGAAATCTTAGATTTTGACTTATAAGGAAATTATTGTACATTTCAGGAATAGAACTTCATGTCACCATTGGGTTTTGAAACTATGGAGAATAATTCTGTTGCTCCTCTGTGAAGTCTATATTATTGTATACTGGTTGCAAAAGATTGAAAAAAATCATCATATTTTTTACTCAGTCATAACTGGTGGCAGCTAGATGTTTCAGTGGATAGAGTGCTGGTCCTGGAGTTAGGAAGCCCTGAGTTCAAATGTGATCCTAGACACATACTCACTTGTCCTGGGCAAGTTACTTAACCTCTTTTTGCCTTAATTCACTGGAGAAGGAAATGGCAAACCGTTCTGGTATCTTTACCAAGATAACCCCTTTTGAAGCCACAAAGGGTCAGACAAGACTGAACTACAACCACAATTGGATAAGAGATTAGACATTTAATTAGATCTTAAGAGCTTGAGAAACCCAGATTCTTGCTTTCTTGTTGCTCTTCTTTTATGTTGATTTCTACTTTAATCTTCTAGATAACGTGTTTAAGCCTGTAAACTTTTCCAGAATTGTGCAATAAAGCTTATGTTTGTGCTATTGGTTTTCCATTAAAGTAACTACAAAGCTAGTTGCTTTCTTCAGTAAGGGAGAGGTTACCCAGGTATTGTCTATGAGAAAATTTCCCAAAGAATTATCAGAAAGCTACAGGCACTGGCTTTTGTACATATAGTAATTATTAAGAGAGACATCTTGGTGACTTTAGAAGACCAAAACAAACATGAAAAATCTTTTTGTAGTTGGAATATATAATTGTCATGATCACTGGAAAGGGAACTGGCTCTGGGCTCAGAGAACTTGGATACAGATTCTGTCTCAGACTTTTGTCATCCAGGGCCAGTCACTTAATCTTTCTAGACTTCAGTTTACTCATTTGGAGGGTAAAGGGATTGAAGTAGAAGCTCTCTGACATCCCTTGTAGTTCTAAATGGATCTTAAGATTATCACCATGATATGCTTAGATATTGCTTTACAACATATGTGTTTCTTCATTTCATCTTAATGATAGTTCTAGGAGGTGAATAGTGTAGTAATATTCTTACCATTTTATAGATGAGGAAACTGAGACTCAGGGGGATTAAACCATTTGCTCAACATGCCAGTAAGTAAATATGGGTTCTGAATGCAGGTCTTCTAACTCAGATGCAAGTGTACTCTACACTATGTTTTACAGATATATGAATAAAAATGAGGAATTTGTTATCCACTGACAAGCATTTATTAAACGTCAGTTATGTACCAGGCACTATAATAGGCACTGAGATTAGAAGTAGGAGTAATGAGAAAATCTTTGAAAGGAATTTACATTCTAATGGGGAGGCAATAGGGGTATATGAATATATAATATGTATGTTTGTATATCGTATCTCACACTTATTTAGCACCTACTATGTGCCAGGCACTATATGTGTGCACACATGTGTACATATACACACACATACATACATATATTTACTTATTTATATTGTATATTATCCTCTCTACACATTCTATACTCAGAAAAAAGAATAAATATAAATATATACGATATGGTTAAATAAACGATATGGTTAAATAAATACCTTTATGTGCATGTGTGTATATGTTCCTGTTGCCTCTCCATTAGAATGTAAACTCCTTTCAAAGTTGGATCTGTTTTTCCTGTCCCAGTGCCTAGTACCTGGATACACACACACACACACACACACACACACACACACACACACTCTGTGTATATTTTTACACACATATATGTACATATTAAATATAACTAGATCTGTATATAGTAACAGGAAAATAAATGTAAACATACACATATGTACACATATTAATTAAACACAAAATAGTTAAGGAGAGAGTGCACTAACATTTAGGGGGAATCAGGCACAACTTTATGCACAGGATGAAATTTGAGCTAGGTTTAGAAGGAAGAGCAGGATTCTCTGAGACAGACGTGAAAAGGAAGGAATTTCAGGCATGGAGTAGGGAGGGGATAGTGCAAATGCATGCAGATGGTAGAGAGTGTCCTGTGTGAGGAGCTGAGAGAGGAGCTGGATTACAGAGTGCAGAAGAGGGTGTGATGCCCAATGAAACTGGAAAAGATAGGAGGGCAGCAGGTTATGAAGGGCTTTCAAAGCTCAACAGAAGAGTTCATGTTTTATCCTACAGGTATAGGAACCATTGGAATTGATTGAATAGGGGAGTCACATGGTTAGATCTGTGCTTTAGGAAAATTGCTTTGTCAGCAGAGTGTAGGCTGGACTGGAGGGAGAGAGATTTGAGGTGAGGGGAACCATTTAGGAGACAGTTGCAACAGCCTAAATTATAAAATTATTAAATAAATGTAAATAAGGTAAGGAAAGAGCTTTATGTTTGTTTCAGGTGAAAGTAATGTGATCAATGTTTCACATGTGTATATAGATAAAAACAGATAATAAGAATAAAAGAGAGTAAAAAAAACATTTAAAAAGTGAATTAATTTAATATTTTGACATTCCTGTACTGGTGCTTTAGCATAAATCCAGCCTTCAATATTTGTACCTCAGGTCTTCTGTACTGTCATGGGATCTCACCTAGAGCACAAGGATGTGTGCAAGGAAGGAGGTGAGCCAAGGCTCAAGTCACAAGAGGCCAGTGATGACCTTAGTGCTGGTGTCAAATCCTACAACTAAATCCCCTGGCACCCTTCACTAAAGCCATTTTAATATCTGAAACAGAAAGGACACAGGCTAAGCAGAGAATGACGAGTACAGAGGAGATGAGTAAGAGCGATCAACTATTACAGATATGTGTATTCCCTCAGCATTTTTGCACATCAGAAGAAATAAACTTTTCTGCTTTTCATTTCATTCCAGCATCATAGCGCTTTCTCATTTATTATGTTCTTTGATTTTTTTTTTATTTTTGCAGGCCTTTATCCTAGTGCAATGCTTTCCTATGAAGTACATTCAAGCTGAATCTTGGAACAGAATAGGCTGCTTGGGCCTGGAGAGCTAATCTGTGAGTATGTCCTTTTGGTTTGTTACAATGATGTTCTTTTATCTAATTTTTCTGAATCCGGTTCTCCACTTAATTAGTGGTCTACAAATGAATGGCATTCTTGGCCTAACTTAGGAAGTTGAACCATGGTAATATAGGGTGATAACGGTTGAGAAACCCATAAACATACCAAGTTTAATTGTCATTTTTCTTGTGATTAGTAAACTTTTATTCATATATATGTGTATGCATATATACATATATATATGTTTTTTTACAAAGAGGTGATCCAATATTCTTATACAAGCTCTTTAATCCATAAACAGTGTCCTGAATCAACCAAATCATATTTGTATATTCACATACTTATTATGTGAGGCCTCAGTAAAGGCTACATACATTGACATGTTAACAAGAATTACATGGCAAATTCCTAGGGGTGCAACAAGTGTATATTAAAAGCTAATTGGAAAACAGACTATATCCCAGAACTCTCCTCTCAAGTGGATTCTCACGTGTCCAGGATTATTTTGGCCTGACAGATATTTACCAGATGAGTGAAAGTCTGAGATCAGCTGTCTTAAAAATAGCTCCAGATTGGGCCTCCAGAAGTAGGAGCTAGAACTGCCCAACTAGATTATTGTCAGTGAAGGATTATAGAGGGAACCCTTTGGCTTGAGGAACTTTTGGCATGTTCTAAAACATTTTTTAAACAGCATACCTTTAAAAAATGTGTATGTTAATGCATGCATAAATACTAATACATACATAAATACATATATGTTAACATACATACCTATGTTAACACACAGATATTGCCAAACTGCTGCTTTTTTGACTTTGTAAACTCATTGATGTAGTTGTTCTCTCATTTGGTTCAGATGACAACGTATCTCAGGTGATTCCTGCTCATGTTCTCCCATGCATTCAAGCATAGAAAATCTACCTAGAGTGACAGAGGCTTCATTCTAGGCTTCCATGCCTTATGGTGCCTTTATTATAGAGCTTAGGCTTTCTCTCCATTTTCCAGTGCTCTTGGTAATGGGTAGCTAACATTTTCTGCATCTTTGGTCGATGATATTCCTGATGCTACCTTTTGTGGATTGATAACTGTCAAAAATATGAAGCCATTTACTTGGGTGTGTATCATGTAGTCTCTCTGACTCTTTTTGGGTCAGTTGCAACTTTAGAAATTTTGATGTTCCAATATTTTCAACCACACAGAATCACTGGGAAAAATGTTTGTTTGTTTGTTTTGGTTAACCAATGTGTTTTTACACATTGGAACAGCTTGGACTTCTTGAAAGCACTGTTTTCTCAAATGCAAAGCTGCCTGGACTGTTCCTCTTATTTAGTCTTTGGTGCTCCTCACTTTCTTTTAGAATCATGTTGTCTATATGCAGTTCCTGCCACAAATAATGATGTATTAACTTAATAAACTGACCAACCAACTTTATGATTTCATAATCTGGACCTTAGGCATTTGGGGTTCAGTTAGAGGTGGTGGTTGTTGTTTTTCCTGCCTTGTCTTGTTATGTTTTGAGGCATGAAGTAATTCACACAATATCATTTGAAAATAGTAGAATCAAAAGGACCTGATTATATCTAGGGAATTCCTCTTTCACTGAACATCCTCAACGAGAGTTGCCGATGCATTTGGAATTTTTTATTTTATTACTTATTTGACAGCAGCAGCCAATGATGTTAATATGTATACAAAAACTGAACATATGTACATGCACATTCATGTATGTGTATATATGTGTTTCATAATAATAATAAACATCAGCCATCACAACTAACAATTATGTAGTGCTTACTATGTGCCAAGGCATATAGGTGGCACCATAGTGCATAGTGTTGGGCCTGGAGTCAGGAAAACTCATCTCCCTGAGTTCAAATCTGGCTTTGGGTGCACACTAGCTATGTAACCCTGGGCAAGTCATTTAACCCCATTTACCACAGTTTCCTCATCTATAAAATGAGCTGCAGAAGGTAGTGGCAAACCATTTCAGTATCTTTGCCAAGAAAAGCACAAATGGGTTCACAAAGAGTGGGACATGCCTGAAAAATGCCTGAACAACGACTTGTGCCAGCCACTGTGCCAAGCATTTTACAATTGTTATCTTATTTGATTCTCACAACAACCCTGGGAGGTTTTACAGATGAGGAAATGGAGGCAAATGGTGGTTAAATGATTTGCCCAGAGTCACACAGCTGGTCAGAATCTGAGGCCAGATTTGAAATCAGGACTTCCTGAGTCAAGGCCCAGCTCTCTATCCACAGACTCATCTAGCTTTCTACATAGGCATAGTTATGTATAGTTTGAGGATATATGATATACTTTTACAAGGGTAAATCACAGCACTGATATGCCTAAGTATATTGTGTTCACAAGTATTTATATGGCACAAATCACTTTCTGTCCTGTGGCAAAGCTTCTGATAAAGGTAAGCCCCTCCAAATAAGTTGAGTCAGTGTCTGTTTCCAGGAGGAACTTTGAAAGTCTGTGATCCTTTGACACTGAAGCGAGATTTAACAGCATGTACACACAGATACACATCTGTGTTTAGGTTTAGGGTCCTCTTTGTCAGGAACAAATGCAAATCATTCTTTTCTTTACTTAAAAATGGAGAGTTGCTTGAGGCATTGAGAAGTTTAAGAGCCTGGTCTGGGGGCACACAGGCAGGCTAAGACAGAGACAGGAATTGAGTCCAGGTCTTCTTACCTCTGAAACTAGTTCTCTCTATCCAATAAACAATGTTTGATTGGCATACGTGGGTGTGGTTATAAGATCTTGGAAAATTATATACACACACATGCATCCTCACATATATATGTACATGTACACATATGTATTCACATTTATATTCACATATAGATATACATGTATCCTCTTCTCTCTTTGTATGTACGCAAACATACTATATGTTTATATATAAAGAGAAAAAAGGAGAATGAGATAGAGAGAGCTGGATGGAGACATACAGGGACAGGAATATAGAGACAGAGTGAGAGACAGAGGGAGGGAGGCATGGAGAAAGGGGGGCAGAGGGGAGAGAGAGTAAGAGATAAAGAATGCCATAGTGAATTGTCAGTCAGGAAGATGTTATACTCTGTAACCATTGACTAATAACAATGCCTTAGTGTTTTTGGCAAATCTAAGACCACAAAATGTAGAGGACTTGCTGGTTTGCATTTGTGGAGTTTTGATGCCATAAATTCTCTATGCTAATGAAATTAAAGATTGAGATAAAAACATAAACACACATACACACACACGTACGTACGTGTGTGTGTGTGTGTGTGTGTGTGTGTGTGTATGCATTCAAAACTACTTGTGGCAGGGAAGTGAGTTGGGCAAAATCATGAACTTCTTCGTTACTTATTCCTCCTTACTTACTGGCAACTCAAGTTTCCTTCTAGGATAGGTTGATGTCTTTTCCAGGGAACAGAACTGTTCTTATTTCTAGATTGGTTAATGTTCAGATTAATATTTACCTTTCCTATTGCCTACATATAAAGTTTAAGCCTTTGCACATGCTTTTGAGTCAAATGTGTTGACTTATATACTGATATGTGTGTGTGTGTAGTATGTGTGTGCATGTGTGTGTGTGTAGTATGTGTGTGCATGTGTGTGTGTATGTATATATATATGTATATATATATGTGTATATATATGTATATATATGTATATATATATATATGTATATATATATGTATATGAGGAGAGGGAGAGGGAGAGGGAGAGGGAGAGGGAGAGGGAGAGGGAGAGGGAGAGGGAGAGGGAGAGGAGAGGGAGAGGGAGAGGGAGAGGGAGAGGGAGAGGGAGTCAGAGTCTTCATGATGTTTTTCTTTTCATTTTTTTTAATCAGGCCCGTGATTTCATTGGTCTAGGCAACTCCTATTAGGATGTATCCTTCTACCAGTGCAGATAAAAACTTGCAACTTTACAGAGTTGTCGGGGGTGGGGGCAGGCACTGGGACATGGAAGGTTGAATGACTTGCCTAGAAAGTCACATAACCAGTTTATTTCAGAGGCAGGACTTCAATCTAGGTCTTCTTGATGGACGTCTACTCATCCCATCCACTATGCCATGCTTCCTCTTTTTTTATGCTAGTGTCAAAAAATAGCAGTTGGCACAGTCTTTTTAAAATATTGTACAACCCTGTTTAATTTTGGTGTTTAAAGTTCAGACTAAAAACTATCTCATAGAGATGCCATAGACTAACCATGTTGTATCAGCCTTTTAAGGCTCAGAGATATTATTGGGCTCATTACATTTGAATTCACGTAATAAAATGCCATGTTTTAAAAAGTTCTACCATATTTCTACGAACTTAAAAGTGGAAGAGATGAAGTACAAACCCTAAGTAAATTGGAGAGATTATTGTGATGATGACTTTAAAAAAAAATGTCCACTGGAACAGGAAAATGAAGTACACCTGGGTAGTATATATAAATAGGAGTGGGCATACGTTCCCCCTTTGTGAGTTCAGCTGGATCTCTAGGAGAGGGGAGCTCACTGATAAGGGTGGAACCTGTGGGCAGGTGGTCAGACAAAGGACAATGAAGCTCCTGGGCTCCACTTTACAGGAAGAAATTTGAAGAAGTCTGTTTTACCTAGGGAAAATGCTGACTGTTGGGGGGGGGATGAATATATGATTAAAATCTACTTCAAATAATAAAGTGATCTTTTTGTAAAGGAAGACAGTGCTTTGGGACTGATGCCACATGCCAATGTCTTGGAATTATTATAAAAGGTTATGATTTTCTGTGGAGGACTCCGTAGATTTGAATTAGACAATTTTATTTTGTAGAAGCTTTACTTTTTATATCTTCAATTAATCCTTATTTTGGATGGATTCTTATTTTCTTAAGAAGAATATCAAACATTATCTCATGTGAGCGCTGGTCTAGCCAGTAGATTTAATGTTCCCTTAAACACCATTACCACATTGCTTGTGCATTTCTAATGTTTTTTTTGTAATGTCTTTAGAACCAAAAGAGGTAACCTCTC